CCCTGTGGCCCCCCCCCCCCCCGCTACCAAAACCTTGCCATGCAAACCCAATACAGAATGGCAGTGCCTTTTTAAAAAAAAAAAAAACAAAACAAAATCACCAACTTCCTTTAAAGGGTCCCCCCATAGTAGGGAATCGTTTGTAGTTGTTCAGTAGCCACAATAAACCCACTTGTGGGTGAAGGCTTTGTGTCTCCTTTTAGTCTCATGCATGACTGCTTTCCTAATGTCTGTAAGGCATCAAAGCTGGATTTGTTTATCTTAGCTGGTCTAAGGCACCCGATAATACATCAGCAACTTTTCATCAATACAGTGTCCAAGCCATAACAAATATGGACCAAATGCTATTCTAAAATAAGGAGTCTAAACAAGTTGTCGCATAACACATCTTAATATAGGCTGAGAGTCACAGGCAGCCCCTGGACTAATAATTGCTCTATTCTCCATTTTCTCAGCAAGTGCTATCAAGGATTAAGAAAATCCTAAAGGATGTCTTCAATAAATTAAAGAGCCTTTTAAGGGCCTATGCAGATCAGACTCCTTCTGAGTAGAGGTTGCATTGGTAAGAATTTTTCTGAATTAAATGGGAAGTCATAACTAATTACCAGTCAGAACTGGGGACAAGATTTACATGATATTTTAATGGGTGGGAGATGCAGTATATGGAAGCCCCACCGTAATATTACTTCATTTCTTCCACAGTTACAATAACAAAGGAAAAGGAAAGTTTACACACAAAGATTAGGGTTGTGTGAGGTAAAAAAAGTGACTGTGGCAAGTCTCCCTATTTCAATCTAAGATCTGGTGAACAAATTTCTTTATTAGTGGAAGAGCACAAATAAAGCTTTTCAGGCATGGAATTGTAATGAAGCCAGAGAAGATGTAATTACCAGAAAAGAAGAGGCTGCTGAGCCACTTCTGAATACTTCCAACAGAATTAGATAACCATCTGAAGCCTGCAGGACTGTAAGTCTATAAGAACATACTGTTTGTGTCAGATCCTGAATATTCCCACTGTTTAAAACAAAGCCTTCTGGACTTTGGAGGAACATAATTTCTATTAAAGCTCATTCATTATTCTGGTCAAAATCTACTGATCCTCACCAGAACCTGGCAACTTTTGAATGAGATATCTTTCACAAGTTGTTGAGGTCAAAGAGAAAAGAAAAAAAAAAAAAAAAAGCAAAACAAAACCAAAACAACTACAACAAAAAAGCCCCAAACTACAAAACCCACCAGTATTTCAGTACTGTTCACTTTAGTTTAACACCATATACTCAAAGTTAGAATTTGGGCCAGACAAAATGTTTCACATAATGTGAAAAGAAGCGTGAAGCCTCAACATGAGAAAAGAACACCTGATATATGCAGTATTTACAAGCTCAATGTCAGAAAAAGCAGCAGCAGAAGTAGCCGTGTTATGCGGGACTACCATCAATGTGACGTACATAAGAATAATCCACAATGCTCTGGCCCCAGCTCCCATGTGATGCCAGTGCCCCAACACAACCTTTCCTCAGAGATTCTCTAATGGCCTAACTGGTAATAATCCTTCCTCAAAAGATTACAAAACAGCTTAGATCCTGTACTAGGAAATTCTAGTAAATAGCCAATCACACTTCTCCAAAATCAGTTAATGCCCTTTTTAATCAAATACTTTGTTTGAAACAGTTCTCCTTGGTGCAAAACAAGAAAAAAATTAACAGTTCAAGCAGCTCCAAAACTCTTTCTTCTGGGCTACATCAGCAGAACACAATTCTATCCGATATATGGTGCAATCTAAACATGTATAGGTTTGCCCTAGAAAAAGACTTGCATACCATATACTTGGCTCATAGAATCACAGAGTAATTGAGGTTGGAAGGGACTCTGGGAGGTCTCTAGTCCACTTTCCTGCTCAAAGCAGGGCCAGCTCTGAGGTCAGACCAGGCTGCTCAGAGCTTTAGCCAGTCGGGTTCCGAAACCTCCAAGGATGGAGACTGCACAACTTCTCTGGAGAGCCTGCTGCACTGCCTGACTGTCCTCACTGGGAGAAAGTTATTCCTTACATCCAGAATCTCTTGTTTAAGAAATTTCTAAGATAAACAATACCTGGGATATCCATCAACTAGCAGCTCACTGTTTCACAAAAGATCAGTATCTGAAACCTTTTAATACCCTAGAACGAGGAATAAAATCCAGGTTGTGGAGAGGGAAGGGAGACAGGAAACATACAGGAGGAGGAAAAACTACTGAACTGGTCAGCTGGTAACTACTCTAACATGTTACATATATGTAACCGTATTTCCACAGATACCGAGGATATGTCAAGACATAGACACTGAGAAGTGGTACAAAGGACAGATGGCAATAATAAAATAAAAAAAATATATGCATCCCACCAGACACTGCCACTCAAGAGAGACTAGTCTTAGGCACACAGTTATTCCCCCCGCAAATTACTTGCGGGAATCATGTTCTATCATCTGTCTTCCAGATATCCTCAATCCACGTGCCTATCTCCCACTCTTGCTGAAGTCAGTGGAACTGTTCACGTGTTACTTCAGAAAGACCGAGAGCTTATTTGTTTTACTGAATGTTAATGACTTCTTAAATAGTAACTACTTACCAAGTTCTACTTCAATTGTATTGTTCTTCGGATAAATAAACTCTGGTCTCATCCGCAGTGGTCCTTCTAACAGAAACAAAGAGAAAAATAAATTCTTCAGGCAAGAAGAGTTCCACAACTTACTTCAACTGATAGTTTTACAATGGTTTTGTTTTATTGTTTGGTACTGTTGTAGCTCCATACTTACTACCAGTTTCAAATTTACAACAGAAAATATCTCATGAGATTTGCTGTACTCTATCCAAATTATTCTATTTTAGCTTCCAAGTTAACAAAAGGCTTCAGCTTACCTTAAAATTAACTTTTAAAAAAAATAAAAAAAAAAAAATCTCAAATTTACTGGCAGTTGATACAAAAGTAATACAAAACCAGAAAACACAAAACCAAAAACTGCGATTAACTTTGTCAGAGAGATGGATAAGGAAGAGAAAGAGGGATTGTATCAACCACCTCCTAGATCAGGTGAATATGTATTTAAGTAAAAGAGTAAACAAGCACACACTTAAACTGGGCTGGAATTGTATCATTCTGCATGATATATAGACTCGCTGCTAACAACCCACTGTTCTTGTATCACTTATCTAAAGTCAGAATTTTGATTTAATCTAAAAAGATGGACACTCTACCTCCAGCCAACTTTTCTGATAGGACTACTATCATGGTACTGGTCAGGTCATCAGCAACGTTGCCTACAAAGATGCAATCACAACGATCACAGCAATAAATGACAGTACTGGGAGAGTGAGCCAGCCAGTTCTGCATCCTGTTAGATGCAGAAAAGCACAATCAAGTGCCAACAGTAAGCCAATACTTTCCAGAGGAAGATTTATTAACTTTATAGTATCTATACAGCTTGTCACATCTCCTTTCCCATCAATTGAGATTCTAGTGAACTTTGTAAGCAAGTTTACCAACAGGGCCACAAGCAGGTGTTTTGCTGTGATGGTCTCAGCAAAAATTCCTCTCTTTTTTTTTTTTTTTCTTTTTTAAGATTTAATTTAATGGTGCATTATTTGTTTTAGCAAAAGCACACACCCCCACCCCAGTAACCACTGCTTCCTTCTAATTCTCATTCCTAACCCCATTTCCCCATGACAATTCTTCCTCAGAAGCAATGCTCAAGGGTAGCAACATGTATTACTCTATTTTAATTTTAGCATTCAGGAAAAAAATTAAAGAAGGTTTGCAATTCTAATTTCACAGAGCTGAAAAATAACATGCCAAATAGCTTATGCCTGCATACAAATATTTACAGCAGAGCCAAAAAGAGAAGAGAATAACCTCAATGCACTCACCTTTAACCTCTAGACTGATGGTTCGTGAAACATTATATTGTTTTCCCATATATGTGTATACCATACGGCACGTGTAGTTTCCTCTGTCTTGTACAGTTACATTGTGAATGAAGACAGCGTTTGCACCCTCTGCCAAAAGAAGTCGCTTGTCTTCAAGAAATCCAGGCTTACACTCCTAAATATATCAAAAGTACCTGTGATTTAAGAAAACTAATAATCTGATAATTAAATAAGTTACTGAACTCTACTGATTATTAGAATACTTGCCAAATACTGATTTTTTTGAAAGCCACAATGTGGGTTCTTATCCAAGCATCACTACGCTGTAACATGAAGTCTGATGACATCTTGCTCCATTTGCACTTTTTAAAAATCACTGCAGCCAATCCTTTAAGTTTTCAAATGCTGTGTTTTAGTTCACTGCCTTCGTTTAATAACTTGACAGTTATCTATCTCAGGTGTAATAACAGTTATTACGCATGTAGCAGAGTTTATGAGAATACATGCCTGCCTTCCTACTTCACTGAGATGAATGAGCTGCTGTAGCAGTGCCTCGTGCTGTTGGGTGTATTACCATTTCTGTGGCAATGCAAATACAGTGAAAAACTTCCTTCTCTTCCCTGACCTATAAGCAGTTTAGAATCACTTCATCTCAAAAGAAGATGCATAGGTGCAGCACGAAGGTTATTTTACACGTACAGGCCCATGTAGCTACTTTAATACCAGCATCAGAATTAAGAGTTGAACTACTTTATAATTGTACCTTAACATGGACAAAATACATGTTTCTAAGCTTGCACAGTCTACAGAGTATTTTGGCAGAATCAGAGTAAGAGGCATAAGAATATCACACCATGATCAACAGACAGGACAAGCCTAATACTCTGCGAAACTGAAATAATTATGCAGAGCCTTGTATTTAAGGAAACATACAAGTTTTTAAACTTATCTACATAAAATAATCAAAGGATAAACTAGATTTTCACAAATCAACAAACCAAAACACGTTTTTGACTGAAAAAACTTGCGATCCAAAGATGGACAACTGTTTTTTTAAAATATGCCTCCCATACCTCCTTACACCTCCTCAACAGTGTAGCAAGATAGACGCCTTACTCAAACTGTAGAGAAAATAAACCTTCCCTTCCAAAAGCTGCTTTGCACAGTTACTTCATAACACATTTTAAATAGAATATTTCCTATCTTGTATATCTGAAATACACGTGCACAATACCTTATACCAGTGTACTTCAGGCTGATTGTCTTCATCTTTAAAGTGTTCTAGATCAGGGCATACAATCTTTCCAGTATTTGTGCTCGTTACTTTTTGTTCAAACTTCATTTTTCCATTAAAACACAAACCGTTATCGTTCTTAAAAACTGTTAAATGTATAGTTTTTTGGTCCGAGTGGTTAAGGCTCCTGTAATTAGAACAGCAGACAAGTCAGGTCATTAACAATAAGGTTCCTTGTTTCCAGCAAGTCAAGGAGTTTACGGAGAGGGACTTCAGCATCTCCACCAGCCTTGCCTCTAACACCCCTGCTGCAGCCTCCCTAGCTCTTAAACACCACCCTCAGCTCCTCACCCCCTGTTCCAGACCAAGAGATGGGAATAAGCTCTGATTTTGTGTTGTGAGCAGAAGTGGAGTCTGCTCTGGAAGCACCAGAGGGGATGCTAGGACTTCTCAGAGCTGACACTCTACAGAGCCCACAGCACCAACCCAGCCTTGCCATTTTCAGCGCTACGTTTGCCAACACACAGTAGTGCAGGGTAACCCAAAACGTATCTGCAGTGGAACACCCTCAGTGCCAAATGAACAGGAGAAGACAGGTTCATCTCAGCGTTCCTTGGAGGGATGTATCAAGAAAAACAGGCTGTAACTCTTAGCAGAAGAGAGACAGCTTTTGAATACATATACATCAAGGTGCAATATAAATGTGAAACCACTTCAGTCCAAGAGCTCACAAGAACCTGTGGTACAGTAGCTCTGCAGAGGAGAGATGGCACTAGAAACCAGAAGCCTATGCCAAAAATACAGGAATACTCTCTATTAATTCATTGCTCAACTCTTCATTTCTCTATGCCATGCTAAGGGAGAAGTTTTCAGAAGAGTGAACTGCATGTTTTGACAGTCCTGGCTTCAACTTCTATATACTGCACCTTGACAAGCTCTGTAATTAAGGTTTAAGTGACTGATGCACAAAATGTAGCCTACAGTTAACACAACTGAACTTCAGCAAGTTTTTTTGTCCTGCTGACATTATGCAAGCCAGGGATGTGAGGTGCCCATGGGAACACATCTCATAGCTAGAGTAACTAGAAACATAGCAGGAAAGACTAAATTAAAATTATTTAACTCGGTAGCTTTAAAAGGATTACATTTCTTCTGACTTCCAATTTTAGCTTCATTATCAACTCTGGAGCAGGAAGGTGCAAAAGCCTGCGACCTGTGCCTACACTGGATGTTTTTGCTGATCACTGTTACTACATTCACAACCCAAATGCCTTCAGCATAATGGGTGTACTGTATGCACACCAGTACACATAACTACACACTACTAAAACAAGTTTTGGGTCACCCAAAAAGTCTGCATTGGCTGTTCTCAGTGTGCTGTGGCAAGACCATGAGGAAAAGAACAATTTCTGTGTGCCTTCCCAAAATTAATTTCCTGTTCAGCACACTGAATTTCAGTCATTATAAATAAGATTTGACCACCTGAAGTGGTGAAGTCCAGTGCACTAATCTGAGCTGTAAATATGGCAAGAGCTTTAAAGTACCAAAGAGGTGAAAAGAATCTATTCCTTTTTTCTTCTTCTCTGTGCACTCAGATCTTTTGAGCAGTACTGGGGATGCATTACTTTCACTGTCTCTAAAGCTGTCTAGTGCATTGCTTTGCTCTTCACATTCATTCTCATTTTTGACCAGTAACATTTGGTAATGTTTTAAAATAAAACATAAGAATCGTTTTCTGCCTTTTAATTTGTAAATTTCTAAAAGGATTCCCAAAAAGTTGCTAAGCTCTCCAGAAAGTCTGTATGTGGTGATACTGCATAACATGCAGAGTTTGCTCCTCTTAGATCCTGCTTCCATTAAACCACATCCAATGAAGAAACCCAAATGTTCTTCTGATCTGTCAGTATCAAACAGCAATTTGAACACAGGAGAAGCTGAAGCAGTTAAGACTCTTCCCTGTGCCCTTACACTTCATCCAAAACAAACAAACAAAACAAATGAACAAACCACACAGACCATTGTTAGTATTATCATGCTTTAAGATAGAGAGTCTTCTGTATGAACCACTTTTGCAATGCTACATGTGTGGAAGAAGAAAAAAAAAAAAAAGCTGCACACAGAAACAAAAAAGAGAGTCTTCTGTATGAACCACTTTTGCAATGCTACATGTGTGGAAGAAGAAAAAAAAAAAAAAAGGCTGCACACAGAAACAAAAAGCATGGTCAAAACAATGCTTTTAACTAATCTAAGCTCTCTACCTAGAACAAAAAATTCTGTACACTCAAGTTCCACAAATATATTATCACACTTGTAAGCATTAGCAACCCAGTTGTTTCCCTCCTCCCTTCCTTACCTTACATCACATTCATAAAGTCCAGAATCTTCCAGCGTTGCAGGAATAAACCAAAGCAAGCCCCCTCGCTGATGGACCCTGGCGTCTCTCTCTGTGGTTACTGGTGTAGCACTACCATTTTTATACCACGTCAGATTGTAATCAGAGTGAAGCACTGGCAATGTAATTACTGGGCAACTAATAACTGTAGGCTCTCCAACAAGCACAAAGTAATCACAAATAACGCATTCTTCTATTAAAAAAAAAGAAAAAATATGAATGCTTTTAATCTGTATATGTTTTAGAAGTATTAATATCCATTCCAAGTTACACAGAATTAGAAAATAAACTTTCTGTAACAATTTACCATTAAAACATCGCAAGGCTACCATTTTTTGTTTGTTTAGCACCTTCTGGTTGACGATCTAAACGACACATTTTACAAAGCTTAAGCCACAACTTCCCTCTATTAAGGTAGTCAGCAACGAGCACATAAGTCCAACAGCCTCTGTGCAAACCAGGGTGTAAGAAGATGCATGGGATTCACCAGGCAACACAAGCTTCACAACTCACCTGTCGTGTCCTTGTTATTTGAGCATGTTAGTACTTTTGCAGAATTACCAGATTCTTAATGTAGATACTATCTATGAAAAGCATGGTGCAAACAGTAGCAGGGCAGAGCTCCTCACAGTACTCTGGCCATTATGACTGTGGGGCCAAAAACAAATTACGAAAAAAAAAAAGGGGGGGGGGATGGAAAGATGTTTTTTGACCTGAAGCACAAGACAGTGTGGAATGAGATCAAGACCTCAACACATCAAAGTAGTCTGTGAACCAACACGTCGTAATACAAAGGAGATCTGGACAGGCGCAGTATTTAGATTAAGAAGTCTTGACTATAATGTATTATACTTACTACATTTGCAATTTCTGTCATCTTTATCCAGAAGGCCCTTTAAATTAATAACATTATTCTGAACATCACATGAAAGGCGAGCATAAACAGAATTTCTATAATTATGGCTGTGTAACAAGTTGACAAGACACAATCATGCAGCCTAGCAAGCAGTTTTTTAAACATCAGCCAAAAAAATACCAGAGAAAGAAGGACAGATACTGCAAGAAGTCATCAAGAACCTAAATCTGCAAGCGAAAACTACTTGGAGAATATCAGTTTAGCAGAAACAGAGCAGGCCATTTGGCTATAAAACAGATTTTAAAAGCTTCCAAACTTTTGCATACATGTGCCACACTGAATTCCTATGAAACTGCAAAACATCTGACTGAACTGATTTTACAAATCTTGCTGAATGACTGTATAAATACAAAGCTAATGTACTCAATTTCCAAATAAAAAAAGTCTTCAGAAATCTTTGCAGTCCCACCACCTTCCTATCACCCAATTTAAAGATTTCCAAGTAGGTCCCTATGGAGCTTAAACTAATTCAGAGACATTAATATTAGACTGCTTATGCCAAGAGCAGCAAGACAAGCATCATTAATTTATGTAGTCCTAAACTTTACTGAAAAAATTAGATCTACCATTAAAAATATTACTAATTAGTTGTAAAGGAAACTGAGCCCTACTGCTTTCAGGACTAGAGCTACAGCATGTCTCTTAAAGAAGGCATTCAACAGCTAACTTTAAGTCAAGGAAGCCAATCTCTTCGGACTTTCTTCATAGGAATCAGGGAGAGGCTAATCAAAGCCTCAGTACCCTAAATTTACGTAGCTAGATTTAAAGATATTTATGTCAATTTGTCCATTCCATCCCCAGTGCAACTTCAATCCAAGAAGAGGCATTCAGCATATCTTCAATATGCTGAAGAAAAACCAAACCCCAAATCCACTATTTGCTCTCAGTAACTCTTTTCTACTAAATACACACAACTCCTCTCTTGCAGGTTTTCTTTTTTAAAATGGTAATTTCAACAACATATTTAACTTACCAGCACTGGACAGAGGTATCAGTAGAA